AATGACGTAATTACTATATAATTACGTTGCACTAGTACAAACTCTGTAACACTACGCTAAATGAAATTTTCAAAAATTCTTTAGACATCGGATGGTCTAATAAAAATATACTTTTATCTCATTACTTTTCCATTGTAATATTTTGTCAAATACTACAATTACGACCGTGTTTTGATCTATTTTGTAACAAAACAATCGATTAGTTTAGATTTAGAAGTAAGCTAAGAAAAGTGTATATTATCTGTCTGCTCAGACGGAATCTATTTCTTGAAGTTCAAGTGTTTGTTCCAAAACGACTTGACCTTATCATCTTGATGACCCAAGCGTTCCATAGCTCTACGGTGTAATGTGCTGACCCAAGGCCAGGCCACCTTAATAGACCTCTTCATGTTAAAAGTGACCCAGTGATTTCCAGAAATGTTTTGGAGAACAATCGGCAAAGGTGCCGGACCAGGGGGGTCTCACGTTTTCATTTGGAAAGACTGGCAGAAACGCTCATCCTTGTTCTTCGTACATAGCACAAGGATAAATAACGACAGGCCTTTAAAATGTGTCTGCGGCTAATTGAGCACATTCTGGTCATCGAAGCCATTTATCCTGTCGATGTTCGTGTTCTACCAGCCTTTCACTCCCTATTACTCTCTCCAGACCACTGCAGGTACAAATTATCATGTCGGCTTGCTTAAAGAAATCATCAAAGCAAATTTCGTACTGCTCATAATTAATGAGCAGTACATCTCTCATAGGCGTTTTCCCCTCCATGAAACGCTCTTCGTCTCCAAAGACCTGGTAAGACAGAGATTTAAACCCGCAGTGGCTATCCTCACCAACATTCACAAATTCTGTGAAACTGTTACGAGGAAGATCCTTGTCAACATAGATTTCAGTGAGAATCTCGAAATTCTCGTTCGTGACAGCTATACACACACACACACATATATATATATTGATGAATGAGTTGTTGTGTTTTAAGGTAAAGTAAAATTATAAAAAGACTATAGGAGTAGTTTGAGACTGTTTATAAGATTGTCCTTTATTAATAAATGAAATGTACGAGTATTTATATAAAAGACTGTCTGCTGTGTTCATATCTCTAGTGCTATCTTGAAGTTATCATTGATTAACCAAAAATGTACACGATTATTACATAGTCACTAATTTAGTCTTGTTCTAATAAATGTTAAGGCTTCTTAACTCTCTTTGCTTTAAACTAAATTTTAAGTATTTCTCAGACGTACTAAATTAGACTTGTGATGTAATATCCTTATAGTTCTTACTATGACATTTATTGTTAAGCTTATATCACAAATGGTATCAGCATGGATAAACCTTTGTTAGCTCTAATATGGCTATAGCCTTGCTAGGTCACCACATGAGTCACTATGAAGATGTGTTTTCATTAAATTTTATACTTTACAAATCTTTACCTTCTTAAGAAGATGAAGGCGTTCTCCAGCCTTATACTCGGTATTCTCGGCTGTATAAATATTTAAATAAGTAAAAATAATGTTGTATTTTTTAAAAGATTCTTACATGGCTTGGCTCTCTTGGGAAATGTAAAAAGCAGCTGTGTCCCTCTTGACAACATCTTCATTGTCACTAACAGCATGCTTAACAGCGTCTATAAATACAACATTTATAAATGATATGAAAATGAGTTATTCTGAGCCTATCAATACATTACCCTCCTTGGTTTGCTTGGCTTTGCTAACAGCCCGACTAATTTGAAGCCAAGGAGAAAAACTTTTTTCCTTAGCCGGACGGCTAACCTTTGATATGTGATCTGCTTTGGGTAGTCCAATTGGACCGTCCATACTTCTGAACTCCTCGACAAAATTTCGGTGATCTTCCAAAGCCTTCTACAACATATCACCAAGTGCATTGGATTTGGTGAATGATCACTATGGCGGATTTGATGTTTGTTGTGAACAACTTTGTTGACAGAATCAACAACTGTTGTTGATTTTGTCAACAAAGTTGTTGACCATTTTTTTTTATAAAAAAGAATTGTTGCTGGCCAACAACTTTGGTGAATTATTCAACAAGTGTTGATTGCAGATTTGTTTATCGATTCTGGTGTCACGATTTTTCTATTCTCAACCAGACGTTTGAGATTCATTCACGTCATTTTGTCCATGTTTATTCTCATTTTTATTTCATTTTTATTTCATTTTTATTTTTATTTCTATATTTCTTAAAGGTTGCTCGCATTCCCCCATCTTCGAGTACGGCAATTCCCTGAAAATGTGATGCTATATGACTGTGTGATAATTTTCAGCCATGATGTATCGGACGAGGCCTACGTTACAAACGATATCTTTGAAGCGACACACAACATCCTTATGTTGACTAGGGCGACGTAAGACCACCTTTGGCATGAGCCTGTCGTAATCTATCACGCCATGTAAGTCAGCCACATTAATTAAGGCAAGAAAATCATTCACGACATCAAATGTCGTTTGAAAAAAGAAGGTGTTGGAACCGACATAAAGTAGACTCGTTAAATTGTTGTAGTGGCTATAAAAGTTCAAAAAAAAATTGTCTGTACAACTAAATAATAACGATAAGCAACCAATCTTAATTTAGGTGGAATGCAGCAAACAAAACATAGTTATTGCCTCTTCTGGGCTCGTTGATATGATCTTTGAAAAAGAGGAGATGTACACAATATCATCAAACCAGGTCCGACAGCGCCATTGACTACACCATTACTTGTGTTGACAAGCTCGTGGAAACCGGAATATGTTCTGCGGTAGTACCGTTGTAAAGCAGAGATAAGTTGTCTATCTGATACACTAGATAGAATTCAAATTTTAGGTCACAAAGCCAAATAAAACTGGCGTAAGCCCAATAATTCTTTTTTTGCATTTTTTCCCTTTCTTTCTTCTTAAACTCACTTAAAAAAAATACTAAGAATATATGGTAACTTTATTTCCCAATGTAATATGTGTGTCTATTAACGATGTAGGCTTTGTTTTTAGCTTCAAGAGGACCTTCTATTAATAACCCGAATGTGTTTCTAACGCTCTTTGCTTATACGTAAGGTACTCAACTTCCAATTTGAAGCTTGCTGTTTTACGTTTTTGTTATCTACATAACTAACAACGCTTCTCATTCAGGTAGTCTAGGAGTAGCTTTTGCTCTTTATGTAGGCTGCTACTATACTCCTTTATTTCTTTCAAAAAAAAGAAGTGGTACTTTAGATAAAGCTGTAAGTTTTCTTATATACTTCCTAAATCAAAAGACTAATGTGGACCACCTCAATTATTTTTCTAAACTAGAACACTCTTCATTTAAAGATGTTATGGTATGTCTTTTGAAGTTACATATCTTTTAAATAATTGCTCACATATCTGTTTATCATTTTTTAGGACTAATGGTACGCCTGTTTTATGATGTACGGTCAAAGTAAGGTTGAGATTGTTGTGTTTTGAGGTAAGTAAAATTATAAGGCAGTATATAAGTAATTTGAGACTGTTTATAAGATTGTCTTTATTATGAAATAAAATGAACAAGTATTTATATAAAAAAGACTATCTGCTGTACCACTTTCTTTAGTGTATCTTTGAAGTTGTCATCATTTTCCCAGTGTGTATCCTGTTACCTTTAACTGCTTAATTTGTAAATATGTTACACTTGGAATTACTGTCATCTTAGACACATTATACTTCCATATCTTCAGTAAGCCTTAGTCACTGTGTTCTTGTAACCTTGTGATATGATAGTACTAACTATTTATATTGGGTAATTGATTCCTTAATCATTCTTAATGTATTGATGCCATAGATATGGATTTATTTAATGTAGCAACAATATAGCAGATCACCACAGAGATTACTCTAAATCGCTTCTTTGTGTTTCTAATTTTGTTTTCTAGAGGATCAATACATTCATATGAAGCATTCTTTCTTGTTTTTATGTTTCGTTCGATGTCTGGTGCAAAAGACTGTACTTTTTATTAAATGTGTATTAGTGCCCTATTTATGGTTATGCCGTCTTTAAGAACGAATGTTGAAAAAGACTCTTTTCCTTACTATCATAAAAGATATTTCTGCTTCTCCATAGCCATTGTATATACGACAATAAAATCTGTTTAATAATTTATCTTGTGTTTTATATAAAATGATGACTGAACGATAATGAAATCAAAAACCATTGGTTGTTTTATACCGTTTAACGAATGAAAATATGAAAAAGCGAAACAACATTGGTTTGAAGCACCAACAAAGTTGTTGGACTTTCCAACAAGTATTGTTTATAAATCAAACAAAATTGTTGAAAGGTTCAACAAGAATTGTTTGTAAGATCAATAAAGTTGTTGAAAGGCAACAAAGTTACATCCAACAAGTTTGTTGAAATAATCAACAAGAATTGTTGATTTTGTCAACAAACTTGTTGATAAACAAATCGATGCCAGATATTTCTCAAACAACTATTTAGCAGTAGCACTTGTTGATTTTGTCAACAAATTTGTTGGAATCGTCAACAAATTTTCCGCCATAGTGGATTGGCACTCGCGGTATCTTACTTCGGCTTCAGCCAAAATGCTACGGAATTGGTTGGACTGTCTTACTTCATCCTCAATACCAGACTGATCAAGGTATACGTTCTCACGAAAACTGTTGTTGCTTAGAACATCTACACTCGATAATTGGATATCATTATTGCTAATGACACTAGGAGCATTTTTCAACAACCAACGGCTGTTGATTTCTTTGATATTTAAAACCCTGTCACCCATTTTGACAATGTCATGTTTACAAGGCAAAGCGTAGCAGAGACGGTCGCTGCAAGAACAAGAATTGGTACGAGCGGCAAGCTTTATATTTTAGGACATAAGGGCTGCTTTCAATATGGCTTTGTGGATAGTTGACAAAGCCTTTCATGACACCTTACCAATCAAGTTTACAAGTTGCTGGCTGTTTCTGATCGCACAATCAACATAATACTCCTCTTTGTTGCTAGCTGTGCTCTGTCTGATGGCTTGGGCTTCACATGTTGGTCAACTTCGACAAACGCAGACAGCAGGGCTAATCTGGTTGACATTGTCCCGCGCTTAAGAGCACTATGGGTACCCTCAATCCGCTGAGTTGTAGTACATCCAAAATGGATATACATACGAGTGAGATAACTAGCCCATTTATCATTACAGACTAACCAATTACCATCAAGATACTCTTGAGCTTTATACGAAGAGTTGTCTTGTAACAACAAAGAATTGATAGCAGTTATTCTGTACTTCTCGCAAGTGGTGTTGAACTCCTCTTCTGTGTAAGAAACAATCATCCCACGAATGAGATCGATGCATTTTTGCTTATCTTCTACCTTCAGAAAGATATGGCTTAATTCCTTATTGAAATTCTGGCTTATATGCCAGGTACAAAGCATGGTCTGACTGCTGGAAAAAACCTGCTCAAGTGCATTCATCAATGCCGAGGGTCGTATTTCCTCCAATAAATATCGTATAGAATGACCTTCAATGTGGTTAAATTATAATATTCGAGTGGTACTCCTATATTACCAGTATAATCTTGTTACAGATTATATATTGGGAATGATATTATTATTGGTTGTTTTTGATTCTCATTAATCTGTTACTGAAGTGTAATATCGTAGATATCAAATGGGTCTTTATGAATAATCAAAGTAAAGATAACCTTTTATTAAGAGTTGAATGAGCTCGTATTTATACTTTTACGAAGCTGTGTCTAAACTAATAGCAGATCCAATCGGGATTTACTATTTAATCGTTTATCCATTCGAATTGAATAAATGTATATCCATGTATTCTTATTTGTTCATAACAATCTTTCCATGATTACAATCTCCAGTCTGTCTACTGAGATCTAATTTTGGATTTCTATTGTTTCTATTCTTCAATACATCTGCGATACAACATGAAGTATTAGCTAATGAGAATTCTTCACTTAATAATTTGGGCCAATCAATATAAGAAAGTATTGATTGACTTAAGACTATGTACAGCGAAGAACGACACGTACACCTTTCTCACTCTTATCAACGACTAAAGCAAAGTTGTTTTCGATAGCCCATTTCTTTAAGTGTCGTTTAATCTCTTCAGACGTTTGATACTGACTGTTGTAAATAGCCTCATTTAAAGCATTTTGAACGTGGTGGTATTCCATTTTGTTTAAATTAAGTAAAATAAAACAGAATAAATTATAGGTCGGTTCCTCGTATATATTAAAAAAAAACCGAGCTGGGTTGCTCGTTGTGAGTTTAAATCATAGTGATTTATTAATCCAAGTTTACGCATTGAAGAAAGCGAAATGAGGGATATTATGAGACTAAAAAATGGCGATTTATTCATCCAAGCTTACGCCTTAAAAAATGGGGGGAGGTGTTCTCTTGTACACCACCTGCCGGACTGCATCGAATGCCGGACAGGTGGTAAATAATTGTATGAGCCTAAAAAATGACGTTTTATTAATCCATATCTACACATAAAATGGGCTATCTACCACTTACCGGACATATATTGTCCGGTTATAGTCTGGCAGGTGGTATATAAAAGAAATTACTATATATAGTATAGCTCAGGTGGTATATACAGGTTCTCTTCTTTTTTTTCTGTTTTTTATCTAATTCTATTATCTCAAAACATCACAGCTTTAATTAGGACGATAAACACGAGGTTATGATCCAACTGGTAATATGTAACTATACGCAGACAAATCTTGTCTGCTGGCATAAGCTCGAACAATAAAATGATCATACAGTAATAGGTGTTACCCCTAATAAGGATATGCTGTACCTACAAAAAAAAAGTAAAGGAGTTTATGCCTTTTTTTCTAGTCAGACAGTTACATATGGTCTGTTTTCATCTTTCGATAATCAATGGTATTTACTTTAATACCCTGTTTGTCACCTGTTTAATACAAGAGTTAATTTTAGATTTATCAAATGAAAATATTGCTAGATTCAATCTTTCTTCCTTACTTTCGCCACTTTATTTCAAGATGAAACGGAAAGCCCAAGTGAATGATAAAATAAGTATGTATATATTGTTTTTTATACACTTTGTGATATTTGATAAAATGCACGTAAAAAAATAATAAGATAAAACGAATATTTTTATTAGGTAAAAATAGACTAAAGATCTCTGCTGCTATGAAATAATCAATCCTTTTTATATTGCCAACATCTCCTGGATTTATGAAGAGTCAACCTTTCTGGTTTTGGAATAAATCTATATTTTAGTCTTCTATCTTGTGTTATCTAAACTCTACTCGTTAGAATTGATTGAAAATAACGTTGTCCCAGATGTGTGAAACGGGAACACAAGTATTCTGACACATACTTGGTGCAGTGGCACACTTCTCTGTAAGATCGTGTAACGGATTCTGTTAAAAGATACATACTTGTTTGTCAAGTTTAATTGGCAGCAGAACATAATAGTTATAATTATCATTTATGCTTTAATTTTCTAATGCATAAAATACGATCCCAAATATAGAATATCTTATCGAAATTTGTATATTTGGTTGTAGAAGATAGGTATCTGTCGTGATCGAGGCTATATACTTAATATATGACTCTATCTACACTTCTTAAATCTTCCATTTGATAATCCTAAATATAATTCTTATTGGTACTTTATATTAAATACTGATCATTTACTTTATGTACAGGCTTGATCTTATATCATCCTTCATACAAGTATAAGGCATACATTTAAATAATAACATGAATATGAAAACATATGAAGGTTACATCAGCCACGTTGAGGTGCCACAGCTATCTTTAATAAGAACTACATTTTCCCCTGAATGTTGTGCTACAAGACATACACAGTTTAAGAATGAATGTTATTGTTATTGTTATTGACATCTCATTATGGTCTTTCTATATGGGATCATTACATCCGAGTATTATCTGGATAAATCTACCCACAACCGTCATCAGCCCATCTGTGATCAATGTCTAAAATAATGTGTATATAAAGACCCCCATTTATTTGTTTAATAAAGCTTTAGTTTATTTTTGCAGTTTGATAATTTCACTTTGTTAAATTTTACATTTTATTCTTAATTCACTCTCGAATTTCTCAGTATCCATTAATTCATACACTATTTCTTTATACTCTTTGTAGGCAATATAATTATATCAACATATAAGTAAATGAACCATTTATACTGATAGCTGTACTATTCTCTCTATGGGCAGCTAAGCCATGGAGAGAACTATTAATATTAAGTTTCTCTTTCTTATAATTCTTGATTTGATCTGAGAAGCTTCTCTTCCCGATCGGTGATATCGTAACTCAGTGGTGGTGGTGGGGAAAAATGTTGTAAAAAAAATGTTGTAATTTCGCGGTATTTAGTTTAACCGGATATGCTTAAGCCACTAAATGACTTAGCCGATTTTACAAAAAAAAAATTACCCCTTTTTTTACCTTTTAATAAACATGTCAAAAGTAACGTTTTTTAAAACACAATTCCCTTTCCACAACGTTGTTGAGACTTCCCCTGCACTTTTCTCGGAAGATGCAAATAAGTTTGTCAATATCGACTTCACCATTGGGTGGGCAATGAAGACTGTCAACTCTTATTTTCCCAACAAAAATAAAAAAGTTGCTTTAAAGGATGGCGATCATGTTAACGACCATCGAGTTGTCAAGGATCTATTATGTGTAATAATAGTGCTTGTGCTTTGTACGAAAAGCAATTAAGACCCCCTGTTGAGCAGAAATTGATTGCGAACAAGAAGTGTATTCATTGCAACAATGCAATGAAATGGATTCAATGCGCAATTACCGTGGAGTATTACTTCAGTTTTATTCGATCCGAGCGTACTAGGAGCCATAAAGTAAATAGATTTAAGAAGATCGAACACCTGCACTCTTCTTATGTACAAAAACATCTGACGAACGATCAACAAAAAAAGGTCGGCCAGATCATTTTGAAGAACCCAGCTGTGGTGATCTGCTATATTGTTGCTACATTAAATAAATCCATATCTATGACATCAATACATTAAGAATGATTAAGGAATCAATTACCCAATATAGATAGTTAGTACTATCATATCACAAGGTTACAAGAACACAGTGACAAAGGCTTACTAAAGATATGGAAGTACAATGTGTCTAAGATGATAGTAATTCCAAGTGTAACATATTTACAAAATAAGCAGTTAAAGGTAACAGGATACACACTGGGAAAATGATAACAACTTCAAAGATACACTAAAGATAGTGGTACAGCAGATAGTCTTTTTTATATAAATACTTGTTCATTTTATTTCATAATAAAGACAATCTTATAAACAGTCTCAAATTATTCATAAACTGCCTTATAATTTTTACTTACCTCTAAACACAACATTTTTTAATTTGAATTCATACCTATAATATGTCTGCCTCCAACTCTCCTATCTCTAACTCTGCTGCTGAGCGTGCTGCTCCTGAACATGTTGAAAATGTTCAACCTCTTTCTTCTGGTGTTGATGAAGATATTGTGATGTCTGAAGGTGATCAAGTTGCTGCTCCTTCCTCTTCCTCTTCTCCTTCTCCTCCTCCTCCTGTTGAAGTCAAGATCAACATCCATGAGGAATACACGGCTGAAATGTTGATTCAGTCTGCCAAGGAAGACCTTGATGACAAGAAGTCCAAGTACTACATTTGCTTGGGCAACTACCTGCACTTGTCGAAGGCGAACCGTGACGGTGAAGACACCAAGCGTGCCCGGGAATTGTCCAAGGAAGCTGAAAAGCTGTTCAAGGAAGCTGAAGAGACTCTAAAGGTGTTGAAGATGTCCAACGCTCGCGAGGTTCCTGTGGTCGAGGAAAAGAACTCCTTTGTTCCCCCTGGTCTCCCCTTCTTGCAATTGGTGACGGATGCGATCTGTGAGAAGCCTCACTTGCCTAAGTTCGACTCTGTTTACGATTTTTGCCAAGAGTTTACAACGGTGTTGAAAGCTCACTCCTTGTCTCTTGATGCCCATTGGAAACGCTTGCTTCCTTCTTGTTTGAACAAGGATACACAAAGTTGGTTTGAAGACAAACTGGCTGAGTCGTCACTTAACTGGAAGGCCGGTGAAAGTGAATTGCTTGACTATTATGACACACCTTTAAGAAAGTTCTTGAATATGGGTCGTGTCTGGTCTATGAAGCAAGGAGCAAGTGAGTCTGTCCGCTCGTTTGGTGCGAAGTTTCAGAAACTTCGTCGTCAAGCTTGCTTGGAAGATGGTGTTCAGTTGGTCCTCTGTTTTTGGTGGAACTTGCGCCCGGAAGTCCGTAAAGCGTGTATGGTTCCTCTTGCTGCCAATTACGGAACCAAGATGCCTTCGAATGTCGAAGACATCATTGCGTTGGGTACTACAACCACGCTGGACACTTCTTATTTGTTGCTGAACCATGGTGAGAGCAGTTCAGTTTCCGATTGGAAGTCTTTTGCTGAACGTAATGGTAGTCCT